CCACGTGGTCAGTAAAGTACCGCAAGACGACATCATGCTCCACAGCAGCTGTGTTGGTTCAACGTGTAATGAAGGCCGGTTTGTTGGAGAGAAAGATAGAGAGAAAGAGAGAAAGAGAGAGAGAGAGAGAGAGAAAATACAACACAAAAAACATACAACTGTGACCCAAGTTGACACTCACGAGGATGGTACTCATCGGTGAGGTTTGAAGCTGGCTGTGTGGCTTGGCCCAGGCTTTTCTTCCTCTCCATTCTCTCCATTCACTCCCAACTGAGGTCAAAGAGTTGTGCTTGCTTGTGGGAAGCTCCTTAAACTCTTGTAATGAGTGCTCTCGGCAAGAAAACAAGGACTCGCTTTTCCAGAGTTCATCTGTCCTCAGGGTGACCGGATACAACTCTAACTGCAGATGGTTCTGGAGCCAACCCTGTGAAATATCCTGATCAAGTTTGGCCTCAATGACTGGACTCCTACACCTGAGAGTCTCCACAAATGTTGAAAAGCACAAAGCAGAAATGTCCAGCCCTAAAAAGGTTTCCTCTTGCCGATCAACACGTAGTAACTGCTGCATAAAGTCAGCTTCTATTAACATGAAAGTCACACCCACACTCCATTTCACACATCCATTGAAAAATGTGTCTGCATATACCGTTTGTTTGTTCGGCAGCCATTAACTCCTTCCGCATCGATTTTGCACTTTTAATGGTTTCGTGTGGCTATGAAACTAAAATAGTCTGTGATGTGTGAATGTAGGAATGTGATAAATTCTCAGAGTCATTCAGACATGAGCCTTTTTGGAACAAAAGACTATTATGAACATCCCCTCTTTGACTGCGGTTTTGAGTTTGGTCCTGATTTGTATTTGGTTTGTCGAAAACCAGAAGATATGCAGAGTAAAATGTGTTATGTGTAGAAAATATTTTCTCGTTGCTCCTGATGAGGAGAACCTTATGTGTCAACATGTGTCAAGCTTAGGCTGCACATTTTTCTTGCATATTTAGCTTTGATCAAGACATAGAACATTTCTTTGCTTGTAATGATGCTAATACATTCCCAAGTATTTGTGAAGTGGCATAAATGGAGATAGATGGCAATAAACATCTGTCTGCTCTTGATGCTTTTGAAAGTTTTTCTTTTAACCTTCCACCTGACGTTGACTTTGATTTTTGTTGGAGAAACAATACTTTTTTCTTTGGGGAGTGGAGATTTTTTGGGCCGTAATGAAAAGGATCAAACAAACTGCAACAAGCACAACTAGGATTCAAGACAACGATAATGTGTGGGTCACAGCTCAGTTGTGAGATGGTAAAACGCTAAAGGATGGATCAAACAAACCGAAGCTGTCAACTGCAAATGAAGACTATGATGATTGCTGTTTTTCTTCATAAAGTTGGATGTTTGTTTGGAATAGCATTTCTACTGGAGAATGCCGTAGGTTTGCCACAGCTTTGTCAAACAGAGGTGAATAAAGTGGAAAGGGTAAACTTATGAGTGTGCTGAGCAAGCATTTCTTTAACCGGCATCAGATTTATTCGTTCTCCATCTTGGAGTGGTGTGCTTTTGCTGGCAGTGGGGCAGCTGAATTGGAGCAGTTGTTTAGAGATAAGATGTTTGGAATGCCATAAGTTTGAGGAATGGCTTGAATGGCATGGTCAGCTGTATTTCGGACGTCAGATAGATTTAATGCTGAAAAGTAAAAGACATAGATGGCCTCCAGCCCTTTGTGTAAGAGTGATCATATCCATGCCTTTGATCACATAACAAAAAGACAGGCTTTGATCAAGAACAGCTATAAATCTACAGCTGTGATATTTTTTAGATTTCTATTAGATATACTAATTATTCACATCAGATCTTTACTCATCCAGGCAAACTCAGATGATGTAATACATTTTGAGGGAATCTGGATAAAACCGAGTTAAAGCCTTTAATACATCTATTGCCATGATTTCCCCCATCCTTACACACTGCAAATGGTTACTTTTGTTTTTTCTTGTGCTTTTTACAACGATGATACATATTATCAGTAATTTTTAACAGAGCAGATTGAATTAATGTGTTTGAACTGTCACTTGTTTTTTTCTTCACTTTTAGCTTGTGGCTTGACAATAATGTGGCAAGAAAAAAGAAAATTGTTTTGCAGTCATATCATCTTCACTGCAAGAATTCACGTGTTCAATGTGTTAATATGTCCCTCTTGTGGTAGATTTATGTAATTGCAACCACATAACATAATTGAACATTCATTTAGTTAAATATCAGCTAATTTACGCTAATTTATTTTGGCATTTTTTTAATATTACCATTTGGTCTGATTTTTTTGTTTGGTATTCTGGCAGTTTTTCTGGAGGGGGATTTCCCAACATATCTGTCAAAGGCTAGATGGAAACTATGCAAAGAGGACTGCCCCAGGACAAATGTTAGGATGAGGTTGCGTTGGGATAAAACTGAACGGTCAGGGTCTCTGTGTTTTGACCACTAATCAGTCCTGAATATCCACAGCATTAGCTTCCTTTCATGTTTTTATTTAATTTGAAAATACATGGAAAATAAAATGTGGTTGACAAACTAGATAAGGCTTCTATTGTTTTGTCCAAGATCTGCAGTGACTCTAAGTCTATCAGTGCACACCAAAGGCCCTAAACATATTTTTCAGGTAGACCGTTGCTTTGTATTCAGCTGTGAGTCTCCAAGGATTGTATGAAATTGACTAAATCCAGAAGGGGGCAGTCTAAGTCCAGCATCATGCAGTCCTCAAGGCAAGTTGTTGAACTCCTACAGTTAAAAAATGTGGAGTCAGTCTCAGACCAAGACATGTTGAATCATGATTATGAGGAATTAAGCCTTGTTGAATGGTCAGTAAATGTTGCCTCACTCAGCTTATTCCTGCAACTTTAGCTGAAGAGTGTAAGGTATACATCAGAAATGTTCTTGGCTGTGCACTTTTGACATTAAAGTTTAGCTCCTACTGAACTGCCAGCTCAGATGTTGCAGCTTGGACTTCCATTTCAAATGACATCTGTCTTTTATATTTCATCAGAAGCAGATTCTTTTTCTTTAAAATTACAAATAAAGCTGGCTTGCCCAAATCCTGAAATAGTTTTGTTATTTTGATTAAGCTGACCTGCTCTCACAGATATCTGGTGCTGATCAAACATGCCAAGCTGTCAGAGCTGATGTGCAATTTTTCGGAATGTTTCAAAATTGGAGGGGACGTTTTCTCTTTGTAGATTTCCAGCATCGACCTCTCAGATCTTAGGCCACAATGAGATGACATTTTCGGAGCTTTAAAGATAAAAATGATCACAGATCTGTAAGATTGTAGATGTGACGTGCAAATGCTAATCTTTGGAGAGTTTGAGGCAAAATAGGCTGGCAGAATAGGGCCCTATAATTGCATATCCCAGCCCATTATTCAGAACCCCGATAAAACAGAACTTTTAGGAGGATTTCTAAAACATAAAAACCTTTAAATAAAATATAAAGATACATTTTATGGATACATTAAGGAGAAGCACATTTTAGATGCTCACCAAGGCTTTGTAAAACATGAATGATAAAAACATATGTGAAATCTTCGAAAATAACCTGTATAATCTCAAGAGGTCATGCCCCAAATTTCAAACTGTGAATACCATCCTTTAATTTCTATCATAGTTTCATGTCCTCATTGTAAGAGGACATTTCAGCCATATCTAATAGCAAACCTTCCGCACAATGCTCTGATAACGCTGAAGCCACCCCTTTCAGAAATGAATACTTAAACGGAATCACAAAAAATACACATTTTGAAAACTATAGCTGTAATTTAGGGATTAGCAGTAGCGATTTACATTTTTCTGCATATTCAAGTCAAGTGCACAAAGACTGGGTGTTCCCCACTGACTTGATGTGCTCCCCGGGGCCAAGTTTGGAAGCCAAACTAAAGTAATGAAGTCACTGTGCATTAAGAATCTTGGAAAATCAAGGGCACCCATATCCTCAAAAGATTCACCATTCATTTCTCTTGGAAAACATTAAAGTGAGAGAGAAGAGAGCAAAAAATATATAGAGTGGACAGCTTCATCCAACAGGGCCAAGGCAAGAATTTATGGTCAGGAAGAGCGATGAATGTGTAATTTACGGTGCATACTCTACCATTCCCCCTGCCCTCCCCTTTGGTAATGAGAAACGGCTGTTTTGTTGTGGGGCCAATGCATGGTACACCCCCTCCCATCTGGCTATGACACACCATTAGTTTTTATTTCTGTCTCTGCTTTTACGACCCCTGCCCAGGCGCCAGCATTTGGCCGATGATGTTGACTATCCCATCACACCATCTAAGCTCTTCCACCTCCCAAGATGGCTTCCTCTAGCCTAGGGAAAATTATGCCATAACTGCAGATGGGTTTTTACTAATTGGATTCTAAGAAAAACAAACATCCAGAGGATTTTTTTATATTCATTGTTTTTTTAAATGTTAATTATGAAACTGGTTGAAAAAAAATGATATGCACTCTTAGAGGAACACATTCACTCTCAAAGTGTCTGCTTGTCTTTAAATAGCTATATTTAGTATTTAGCTATAAATAGTAGACTTTGAAATAGAAATCTTGATTTGGGTTTTGGTTACTGAATGTACAGGGTGTGTGCCGGCACACCCAAAAGCAATCATTGATATCCGAGCGCAATACAATACATACACAGTGGGAATGAAGGTTGATGACAAAGAAGAAAATTACCCAAATTTGGTATATTGTTGGTACACATCAACAAAGACAGAAAATCTGCCAATGGAGGAAAAAACAAATGAATAAATCTGACTGAAATTTGTGATGCAATTCCATAATGCCCAGTAAAGTATGTATGAAAGACTACTGATTACAAAGTTGTTATTCAAGTTTATATTTAGATTATATTTCATATCTATCCTGACTATTACTTCATTTTTATTAGAGCTGACAGTTAAACTGAATGTGTGACTTTCTATGATTCTAAGTAAACAATCTATATCCCATGCCAAAGATTTATAAAAAAAATAACAGAATAAGTTAAAATTGGTTTAAAAAATTAAATTCCAACAGAGTTAAATGCAACAAGCAACAATATGTGTAATCATTAGACATGTATTCATGTAGCAATCATTCCGTGTATGACTGAAACACCATCAGCTTCATCTGAGCTTTATTTATGTCTTCACAGAAAAATCTATACACATTGATACTAATACTGATTAACAATCTGACATATTCAGTATCACAATCTATTGTATGAAAGCATAATGACTCGCGCGACCTCTCAAGAAACTGATATCTTATTTAAAACAGACCCACGTAAAATTTCCATGGAAGAAAAAGAGCACATGCTGACTGTATATACAAAGTCATGAAGCCTGCATTTGGAAAATACATTAGCAAAATGCTATGATTGCTCTGAAATATGTGCTGTAGGAAACATTATAATTGTGCAAAATCTAAAGATCTTGTTACAAACATACTGATTACTCAAAAGCTGATGATTTAATGGCTTATGTTATAATCAGTGTAACTGTATTTACTGCATATTCAATACACAACTGTGCATTTACATGTCCTTCTTCTTGTTTTCCAGACTGTATTCGCTAAGTTTATAAGGCCAGTATTAACACATACTGTATGTGCAAACGTCAACACACATGTACAAACAACTCCAGTCCGTGCAGAATTGCATATAGAGTACACCCAAACTTCAGTTACAGACAAACCCACATATGCATGCGCCTACACACACATGCAACCTTGTGTCATGCAAATAATCATTTGTGTGCAGACATTTTTGTTCATATACAAACAATTTATTCAATTTAAAAACAAGCTCATAGTGATCAAATGGCTAGTGTTTGTGAATGAATCAGAAGGATATGAATTGTGCTCCCAGAAATCCACCCACATATAATCTTTTAGGCCTATTTTGTAATGGATCTCAACCTTCTGTCTCAGTATTCTTAAAAATATTTCATCCACTAACTAGCACAGTTAACTTCCAGTACCTTTGCATTTTTTAATCTCACAATGGAAAATAAACCTACCAGGAATTAATACTGTTAATTGTTATTACGACATGCACCATAACTGTTGAGGAGTTCCATCTGCCACCTTTAATAAAAATAAAAACTAATTAAATACAGATTGTGGTTATAATCAGAGTGGAACATAATACATCATCAACTTATTTACCTTCAGAGACCATAGATTCTGTATCAACCAGTTACTCATGCTGCATTAGAAATGCAGAATCTGTCCAAGAGTTCAGTTCAGGGGCCGTTCAGTTCATGACACAAACCACAGTCTTCATGTGACTTTGCTATCCAGCAGTCATTTCAATAACAAATCAGCAAGTCGTTCAAATTTAGTGTCCAGATATGTTCGCTCATTCTAAAAGTTTCAGGAAACATCTTTTGTTGCAGCAGACCTCCAGTTCTCCTTGCATCTTCTACAATGCAGTGTAGCAGCAGTAATCCATTCTTTCATCACTTCTCTGTCTGTGGTTGGTGTTCTAGGCAAGGCACTGTCTCAGTTTTTCTCTTAGCCTCACCCAGCAGGCCTTTGACTTTGGGTGACAGAACTGGTTGTGGTGATGGGAGCATCTGTGGTCCTGCTCTGGCCTTTTCTCCGCTTCCCTCCTCCTCCTCCTCCTCCTCCTCCTCTTCCTCTATCATCTTTGCTTTCTCGTGTTCTCCCACGTGCATTCTCCTTCTCCCCCCTGTTTGTATCATCCTGTCTGTCCCCCTTATTCTTTCTTTCTGAAACGAGAATGCACAAAAAAAATAGATCAATCTGTTGTTTATCTTCTCAGGTTTTTTTGCAAGTTATCCGTCATCGGTTGATGTTTTGTATAGAAATGCCCCAGCTCGGCTAAAGAAAGCAAAAACATGGATTGTTGAGGAGAAGGGAGAAGCGAAGGGATGAATGATGCATGAAAAGTTGTGGTTTGGGGCTTTATAATAGAAGCAAAACAAACATAAAACACTCTTCCAATCCAGAATCATTCATGCTCATGATGATTCAATGCTAACACAATGCAATGTTTTGTAGAGTTGTTCAAATATGTAAAATGACAGTTAAATACAACATGTAGCCCTTGAATTATGAGCCAAGTAAATGATAGGTAAATATGTCCCAGTCCAGATTCGGAAATCATTAAATGGTAACATGTCAGTAGTGAACTGTTTTTTCTGGGATAGTTCCCAAGTGACATGAATAGAATTCAGATCCATGAATGGTAAAATATTCAGGTCCTAATCATGACCATTTTCATAGTAATAAGCATCATGACATCAAAATTCTTTACATTGGTTTTAACCCTTCTGACTATGTATTTTTAACTGTTAACCCTTCTCATTTATAGTTCAGAGGGAAGTACAATAGTTAAATAACTGTGGAAATGGGTCAGGATAGTTAATAAATGTCCATGTACCAACCACTCCTACTATCCCCACTCTATTAGCATTTCTGACCAAACCAGTGCTGGCAAAAGCGTGTGGTATGCTGGGCATAGCAAAACGTTCAGTGCTCATCACAGCACGTAGTGGGCTGAAGGATGGGTAGGGTGAGTGGGGAGGAGTGTCAGGAAAAATCTCCTGATAATGAATCTTCTTTTTTTTTTTCAGACCAACACAGATGGAAACCGAACATTCAACTGCAATCAATTCCTTTGGACAAAAGTATGTTATACTATTTGGAACTGAAGCATATGAAAATGAAGGAGAACATTTATGATCCAACGGTCGTGTCATGCGCTAACGGAGGTTCTGAGTATGACAACCGAATCAGAGAAGAAGGAGTCTAAAATTGAGTGTGGCAAGTTGGCCTGATCCTTCTTCTCTCTCGGAGAAGGAGGGTCAGGCCAACACAGGGTCTCGAGGAGCCAAGTGCAATCATCATGTTTGCAAGAATCAACCAGCATTTTCAGCTCAGTCTGGTTTGAACAACAGCAGAATAAGCGTTTTTTTTCGGTAAGCTAGAAGGCAAACCTTTGCAAAGTACTGCTGTACCCGAGCACATGGGGCCATATCGGCAGCGGGAAGGCTGCCTGTTTAATTTCTGTTCCAACAGCTGCTCACTCCCCTGTCTCACTTGACACACTCTTCAACCTCCCCCATTCTCCTCTCTGTTTGGGCTCTTGCATTGTGATTCACACCTGTCAGACGTTTTAAGAGTATAATTGCTCTCTAACCACAAGATCCTTCACCGTGGGGCTGATTTCCACACATTTCTGCAGAGATGAGCTTGGATCTCCTGATAGTTTTGTATGGCAGCTCGTAAAGCCTACAGGAGCACTAACAGTGAAGTGACAATTTTCTGTTAAATAAATCAGCTCAAAATCACTTTAGCTATAATGAGTTAAACATTGTCAAGGGCCCATTAACGGCCTTTGACCAGATGAAGAGCTTACACAAAGTGGAGATGGACTTTCTGTCTGGTTTTAGGTGGCTTTTGTTTAAGAAGCAGTGAAAAGTGTTTGATTTTGTGTATCTGAGGGAGAGTAGTTGCTGGAGGTTGTTTGCTAAGCACTGAAAGTGTCTGCACTGCCTAAAAGTTAATTAAAACTTGCCAAATGATGGAAAGGGTTCCCTGTGCAGCTGACAGCTGCTATGGTGACCAATTTTTCATATACAGAGGTACTTTTTTTTTAGAAGAAGTATAAACAAAAAGAAAGGGGCATGAATGTAAAATCTGCAGAATAACTGAAAAGCAAACAACGGTCACACAGCAGAGCGCCAAAACAAATACAAAAAAATACAAAGCCTATCATTTTGGGAATCATTTGTGCCAAAATTATGAGGGTATGACTGAAAACTCGCTTTCAGGCCTGGCTTAAACCATTCAAGATTGGGCTCAGTATTTCTTTATTTCTGAATTCTATGGCAGCTACTTAAACAGTCATGGTTTAAATAAAAGACACACTGGGAACGTGAGTGGAGCGTCCTCATAAAAAAACTCAAACATCTGAGCTGGTGTGTTTACTGTGTAAGGACTTAATTACTCCTCTAACAAATCACTAATGGAGCCAAGAGAGGGGGACTCCATCAGTTTATGACAGCCCTGATTGCACCTCTGCTCCATCCAAGCTAAACAGTTTTGCTTGACAAATGTAATAACACATCCAGAAAATTTTGTTTTCGCGTGAGACCTTTTTTGCGGAGCTTCAGGAAAGGGGGGCGTAGGGTATTTGCAGCCAAATCAACACAAAGCGTGAGATCTGCAGACCGCTAAATCACTAATGTTATACAAGGTCTGCCCCCTGTGTTTTATATAGCCTGCCAGCCAGCTCCCACAGATGAATCCACAGCTGCGCTCCCAAATGAACTTGCTCACTGGAATCATGGTACCATCACCTAAGAATTACCACACAGAGGAAACTTCATTTTTATGCATTTAGGCAGCAAAATATGCCTCATTCCTATAGACGTCTTTAGCAGCAGAGGAGAGGAAAAACATTACAACAAAGCTCTCTCAACATCAACATTGGGCTATTACGCAGTCCGCACAGCTTCTATGACTCATAACTTTTCAGAGGAAACTTCACATATCATCCTTTCTTTTTTCAAAAACACACTTTCGAGAGAACAAAGTTTATAATATTTCAAGTTAATTATTCTTTTCAGCCATGGCAAGCATCAGACAAGTTTTTTTTTTTTTTTCCTCCTTCAGTGTGTACTATCTCAGCCCGTCCCATGATGAGTCTCATCACTCAATGACTTCAAGTTTTTTTGTCCTGTACAGCAAATTTCTACGGGATGATATCAGAATCTCTACTGGATGATATCAGATCATATTCTGTTGTTTAGATTTAGATTTAATACCCCGAGGGAACTTTCAATGTTTAGAGACTGGCAACAGAAAAGCTAAACCTTCACCCTGTTTACTGAGATATAGTATATTTGGCATGTCCTCTGTTACATGTTGCAACATCTGCATTTTTGCCAACACTGTGCAAATATTGTTACACAATGTTGCTGCTGTTGCTTACATCCCCTAAGCGTGCCACCGTTCAATAAAGACTTGAAATAGTTAAGGTGAAAAGTTCTCTTAGGGCTTGTATATAAATGTAGGGTTCTAGTACTTGTGAAAATTGGCATTTTATATAAAAGTGTGGGGGCAATTTGAGAGCAAGTAATCTGTTAATGACTTTTGATTAGCTACAGTCTTACTACGGTTCAGGAGAAATAATCATATGAATTAACAGGGTTTAACAGCTCTTCTGTTTTTCCAGTGTTTTTAAAAGTTTTATCATTAGGCTAATACCGCTTGTAAACGTTTTGCTCCTCTGGCCAAGAGCGACTAATAAACTGTTGTGAAAGTTAATAGCCACTGACTGGTGAGAATGACTGTTAACCTGCCGGAGAGCCTGCTGCTGTGTGGATGAAAAGAGCCCAAGCAAACATGTCATGGTCGTGTAAACCTCGCGCTTCAGTGCTCTTCAGAACAAATAGCTCTTTCTAGCTCTGATCCTGATCCAGCTTCACAGTGCGTAATGTCCACCCTTCACCTGCTTGACTGGTTGATGAAGCTTATTGTTTATATGAGGTAATGTCAAGAGATTCTGTATCCTTCTGTGCAATCTGCCAAACTAAATGCAATCAACACCCTGCGGGTCACAGACACATTGCTGGGAATGCGGGCCTTTGAATAATGAATAATGGGTCCATCAGTCATCATGTTAACATCAGAGGCATTTCACAAAACCCATGCGGCGTATTGTTCACTCATCTGTGCGGAGCCGTCTGTTCCCAAAGCTTCAAACTTTGAGCTTTTCGAGATGCAATGTCTGTCAAATATGTTGCTCTCCTTTGTAAATGTGTTTTTTGAAGGGCATATATTTGTTTTACCTCTCAAACAAGGCATCTTGGTCACAACACACTTCCGTCTCTGCGTCTCTGGAGCGCAGGTCTGCGCTGATGCAAAGGCGGGGGGGGTGTCCGGACTGTGAGTCTGCGGAAGGGGTGCACGGACCCGAGACTGTGAGCCTTTCTTAAATCCACATGTTTTATTCTTCTTCATACAGGGACTCCATTGGCTCCACTCTTCTAGTTCACACTCTGAAGCAGGCTGACCTGTATGGGGAAAAAAAGAAGAAGAAGAAAACTAAAAATAAACAACTGAGGTGCTGAATGAATGTGCCATAGCTTCAACATCTCACATTTGCTACACTGTGTAGCTTATGCATTTGCTTTTCAAAACATGTTTAGCTCAGTTTAAAGCACACTGTGTATACGAAAAATCTGGATGACTGGGAAAATGTAGAACCTTCGGCAATTCAAAAAAGACCAATAAAGACTTCAGGCCCTAAAGTGCTTCTAGGTTTTTACTGTTAATTCTGATGTTTCTACTCATGACAGAGTAAAGAAAAAAATGAAATGCAGAGATATAAAATTTCAAATAGTTCTGTCACTCACCCACACACTCCATAGTCTCATTGGCAGTGTGCTGTCCTGCGGGGCAGCTGACGTAACATCGGCCACTGTGTGAATACAAGCCCTCCTTACATTTTGTGCAAAAATTGCGATTGAAACACGCTTCACAGTTTTCTATTTTACATTCTGAAAAATACAAAATACAGAAGAGACAAAAAAAAGAGGGATCAGATCATCTTTAAGGTGCATTTTCAGTTCAAAATGTGATGTTTTCCTATTTTATATATATTTACATACACACAGTTTTAAGGAATATATTGCCTCTCAAAATTCTGAGTTTTTGCTGGAAAGAAAAAATACCTCAACATTTATTTCCACTATTAGGTTTATTAGCGATCAAAGAACACAGTTTGTTTACAGGGGAGTCACAATCATCTTTTAAAAACACGTGCAGCTCAGTCAGCTTGTTGGTGAGTGTGAATGAGTACAGCCAGGACTTTGTTAGTTTAGTGGATTTGAAGAGAAGGTTTCTCTCACCTCAAACTCATTAGAGCTCTGAACACAACCATAAACTTCTTGAAATCTGGATAATAACAAACACTAGTGGGTGAAAAATTATATCCCAAAGGATTTTCAAAATATTAAACTTCATCGTTAAAAAAGTTATTTATTCACATTGTTCATTAGATCTTCAAAAGGAGAAGCTGGAATCTGTAAACATGTGTTTATGCTTTGTTATGGTAAATGTATTCAAATCTAGACTTTTCAACATTCATGTGTACTCAACTTGAGAATGTGTCTTTCTCAATTTGGCTAATGCCAAGATGAGAAGTAATTTAACAATGAATTCCTCAGTGGGATCTTAAAGTTCTATGACAGCTAAATTTGACAGCACTGATGTTTGTAGCCCTGCAATGTAAGACAAATGTTTCTAACAAGACATTCTGGGATGACATTTACGAAGTGAGATGATTGGATAATAACCCAGGTTAGCCACCAAGGGCCTTTGAAAAGAATTTGCGGGGGAAACTCTGCCCTCATTGTAACAAAGTTAGACAAGGAGTTAATGCAGCATTAAAAATGAAAAAAGCAGAAAAGCAGTTTGGATATTGTCCGTTATACTAGTGCAGCACATTTCTAAAAGTCAATGTCAAATAAGTAAAGATAAAAAGGATCTCATACTACTGCATCTGATTGAGATAGAAAATACTGAGATATTGTAATTGAATCTCAAACTTTGTTTAGTTGTGGATATTTGCAGTGGAAAACCAAATCTAAAATTTGCAAAAAGCAGTAAATCTCTTTATCAAATGTTATCAAAAAAACAAAAATAAAATTATTTGTTTGGAAAGATAGGTGAGGTTCATTTGAAAATAATGTATGTTTAAAAGTGAAGGTACAACTAACATGGGCTATGGCCTGATATGAACCCTGCACATAAGAAGCCAAATGAAAAACACAGACATCCTAAAAAAAAAGAAGAGAGAAGCAACAAACAACAAGGCATTAGAAATGTTTTTGTTGGGATTTTGGTCCAATCCGTTTTTCTGCCCACACATAAGAGAAAACAGACATCAGACTAAGTTGCTGGCACTCCTCCCTGAATAGCACAGGACCAGTGCCACTATAAAAAAAAAAGTTAAGAGTTGTAAGTGTGGTCCCTGCTTTGCCCGACAGATGAGCTAAACCTGCCTGTAACCATACAATGAAGAACATTCCAGTACCTACACTGGAGTTTACGAAATATGTTGCTGGATTTGGTATTTTATTTACATAAATTAGGAATACAAGTGTATAAAAACACTATTTATGCAGACATTAGTGAAACATTCACACAGAATTACATTAGACAATTAATGGTGCTGCATATAGGATCTAGGTAAAATATCTTATGTTCTTTATTAAATACACAAAAAGTGTCGTAGAAAAGTGTACCTTTTACTACCAGACAAAATTCTAATGACAAACAAATTTGCCGGAAGATCCTTGAGCAGATCAAATAAAGACCGGATCAAAAGAAAACCCCAGTTTGACTCCTCATGAGACGGTTGAAGAGAGCGTTCATGCATTCAGTGCATTCCAATTGGGTTTCTACAAATGTCACATGCCCACTCACATCCTGTTAGTGTATCGCCAACACCTGCCATGCTGAAGGATCAATAATACATAGTTAAACTCACGGGTGCATCGGTTATTGCCTTCTGGGTTCCTCATACCAAAGTATCCCACAGGACAGGAAGCAAGGCACACCCCTATCTGGCGGATGTCATTGCGCTCCAGGAAGATGAAGAGCTTGGGCTTACATTTAATGCACCCATTATACTCAGAGCATCGGTCACAGCCTTTTGGGCAAGATGGTGGCCCTTCAGTACTAACTGTGGAAACACAAGGTAAACAGAGAGAAACACTCACGATGAGGTAGGTAGAACAACAACAGGGTGTGTCATTAAAAAAAAATGGTAAAAATTGTTTCCAGCTGTTTATGAATTTCTAAGAGGAAACAAACATGGGTATTTTTTTCGCATTCTGTCCACTGAAATCAGGCAAGTGCAATGTTCTGTTCCTATCTGCACGGAGAGATGCCAGCTCTCAAGCACACAGGTGTTGATATTTTCAACATTATCTCACCAAAGTTCCTTGATAGAAGTTACCTACATAACTGTGACTAAAAGTTAAACTAAAAGTTATTCAGAAGAAGGGGAGCTAAACCTGGGTCAGTTGAAGTTTTGAATAAGATGTATGTAATACTAACTCACGCATGCAGAGAAAACAGAAGTGGCTTAAATATAGAAATACAAATTAACCAAAAGCTAATGATCAAAGAATTCTACGGACCCATTCACTCTTCTTTTCCTTTATCCCAATCACAAACTAACACAATTTTCTCGACACACAGGGAGTCACCTAGACTATTTATTGGGAGCATTTTAAAGGGTGAAATTTTTCTAAAAAGATTATATAAAATGACATCCATTCTCCAAGTTGATTTCCAGTCGCTGGCGTGCTCCATCAGCTCTACACACAGTCCTACGGCAGTCGTTCTGCTGAATTGCCGATAGGTCAGAAGGTAGAATCGTTAAAAGGGTCCAGGTCTGAGAAATGGTAACCTGCAGTGACTGGGGTCAAGCTTTACTGCTCAACAAATGATAACGAAAGTAATAATGCCTCTGATAATGGAGACATATAATCTGATGCTTTTGTTTAAAAGGGTTGTGCTTATTAAAGCATAATAACCAAAATCTCCACTCTTTTATTTGATTGTTTCAGTCTCATCTTAGGCAGAAACTGAATTAATTCTACGAAGGAGCAAAGCAAGCCAACAGGAAAGAATATAAGATCCTCTGTCCTCACTTATTTGCCTACCAGGGGTTATGGCTGACAAAAACTGAATGTGAACGTATTAAAGATGTAAAAACTGTAAATCAGTCATGTAAATTGCAAACATCTTCCATATCTGGAAAGCAAAAGCATCAACTGGCCGAGACACCGTGGAAGGAACTCATGTGTAAATGGTTAGCAACCCTAATTCTCCTGTCTTCATTACAGCGCCACAAAATTAACTATGACAGCATCATTGCACGTTTATATATGTGTGTATGGTATACATTGTAAAAATAGTGAATTTTTATGGCTTTTCCTCTCGACTATGCGTGATTGTATCAGCACCACATCTGTTACTGTGGCCAGTCATGGTATTATATGAATTCTGGCTCCAAGAGGTTGGGGTGAGCTTGGCATTGACTGAAAGCTCCTTGTGTGTAAAGGAAGAATTATTTCAAAGCTGAAAGAAACACCAGCACTGTGGCTGTGCAGCCAGAGATATACGACAAGTAGAACCGAGTGCTGTTTTTGTGGTTGTGTGAGGTCAGAAAAATGCTTACGAAAACATCAATAGCATGATCCAAGTGAGAGCTTAAAACTGTCAGGTACTCACTCCATAATGTGCCTATAGAGCCAGACACGCAAAGAGCAATGGCTTTGAGAGGGAAGCCATCAAACCCCTCCATAAACAGCTCTAAGACCCGTAAAGGTTTCTTGTAAACTAAAAGAGGTATTATCTTAAAAAGAGGAAGAAAGATGAGCCGTTTGGGGGAAACTCTAAACCTAACATAAACCGCCTTGAAAAAACAAATACGAATGAGGGGAAAATAAACAATATGTTATCTTTACTTTAGTTTGGTTAAATGTTTATAAGACACCCACCACAGGGATTGAAACCGCACAAACGAATAGCAGCTTTGCTGCTATGGAAGAAAGAAAAAGAAAAAGAAAAAACGAGCAAAGAGGACAAACTGTGAAGGTAAGAACATACCCCTCCTCTGCCTTCTTGCTCTGGAGAGCTTGAGAACATCGCCGTGACCCATGGAGCTGAGAAAGATCATTGCCAGCGCCACCAGTCCCAGCTGCATAGTCCCTGTTGCCTTCCAGGCTGTGCAATGTCCCCCCCTTCAAACAGATGGATCGGGAAGGGGGGGTCCCCCTTCCTCTGTGGGACAGGTGGGTCCCTCTGCAGGTACAGATGATCCCCCCCTTCTCTCTCTCTCTCTCTCTCTCTCTCTCTGCGCTGCTGGTCCTTGTCGTCTCTCTTTCTGTCCCTCCCCCCGAGTCTCTTTGCGTCTTTCACTTTACTCGCTGATATATCCACGAGTCTGAGAAGTGGAGTGTGATGCTGCGACTGCACGTCCAAACAAGCCCGGGGCACAACCAGCCATCACACTGGCGGTGGCTCAAGCAGAGCGAGTAAACAGAACGGGGCGGTAGGATTGGGGGGTGAAGAGGAGGCGCGTTGACGTTCTTGTGGGTCAACCCATGAAGTTTAAGGAGAAGTGGAAAGAGATCAGCCTGTTGTCTGATGGGTCGTCAGTGAGCGTGTTGGCTGTTTGGAGTTAAGGATGACGGCTGGCAAGCTGATAAAAAGATGGACGCAGATTTCTGTCTATGTGTGACAGAGGACCTGCTGAGAAAAAAAAACAGAGAGGAGGAAATGTATTTAATCACGGATGCCAGAGACACTCCCGGAGCAACAATACATGTTTTTTAGACTTCTATAAAGGGAACTTGAATAATTTTTTGCAGAGTAAAATATGCTGCTCGTCATCTCAGGACATTAATTTAAAGCTTGTGAATTTAAAATATAGTCTGCGAAAACAGGAAATAAATATTCTGGCTCTGTACGATGGCGATGAGGCCTCCCTGAAATTACCACTTAAGATCACTCATTAGCACAATATTTTGTGTTCAATCACTACAAAATAGTCTTGTTAAATTTACAAGTTAAGGATTTATTGGCTTTTTTCTGGCAAGCTGTAGTAACTCTCGTGGGTCTTGGCTAGTTGCCTAATAACTAACAGTTATGAAAAGATTTCATAATTACAGTATCTAGCCAAAAAAAAGTCACCCCCCCCCCCATTCCACCCCTCATAAAAACTACAAATGTAGTTATATTCCCCTCATTCCCCTCGTCTTTCTGCTAAGCTCAATTAGCTTGCAGATGGTGTGTCTTTGTATTTACAGTTGAGAGACCAGAGCGGTATCATTTTCCCAATCTAAATGTCATCAAGAAAGAGAATAAACCAACATTTTAGTTTAGAACATAAACTCTTGTTTTTAAATATTTTTTTCCAATGGCTCAAAGATACTATCATTGTGCTGTCAACACATTTAACCAATGACATTAAATTCTAACCAGATGTAACAAAGATATGTAATTTGGCCCAAACTGCATTCATTGTGGTGTGCTCTTTAACGTTCAAAGCCTCAGTGAACTGAATCACGACTGGCTTAATGAAATGATCAGTCACAATATGAGGAAACCAAACACCAAAAACACAGAGTTTATGGCATTTCAAGCTGCATTTGGCCGTGGGTGACTAATTGAGCATGTTTATCCTTTGGAAATACAGCCACGTCTCTGGGAAATGCAACACAAGCTCAGACTGAAGGCTTTTGTCATATTTGGTGTTGAGATCTTTTTTAGATAGTGTCAAGCAGCGCCTGTATTTACAGCTCTGTGTGAAGAGGACAGACAGAACATGTTAGTATCTGAGCAATGGGAGGTCCTCCCTCGCAGCTCAATAAAGAAAAATAGGACCATATTTGGACGTTGAGTTGGTTGTGGCTCTGAATCACACTAAGGACAATGCCATTTGGTGTTTCTAAACATTCCAACAGGCAACATTACATTCTGTGCTGAAGAATAAATCAAAAGGGACAAAATAATTTTTAATTTCTAGTCGTTTAACTGAACCAAAATGTTTTGTGCTTTGCAGCCCTGCACACACGAAGATGAAGGGGAATAAAAGTTACCTATCAGGTCTAAAATGTAATAGGAAATAGGAAAATCTAACAGTTCTGGGCGTGATGCGTGAGGAGCTAAAGCTGCACACTGGAAAACAGTGTAAAATCAAAATACAGTATTATCACAAAAAACCCTACTTAATGTACTGGAGGCAAATTATGTTAAGCAATACTTGATGTTGGAGCCTGACAAAACAAAAACCAAAAAACATATTTACTCATAACCACCTCTGGGCCGAAAACAGACTTAAAGCAGACAATCAAAACAGTGGGACAGTCAGTCTTCTGTGGCATCTGTTTGTCTTTTTGATACTGATTTGATTACTAGACATGAAACGTCTCGGGATCAGTAAGAGCTCAACCTTTCCAGCTCTGAGTAACTCAAGACATGTGTAAGTGTTTCTTTCATAACTCAAAATTCCCACAATTCTAAGATGCCTATCAGAAGCCCCACTTAGTCCATGCCCATATGTCTCACACACTTTACAGTTCAGACCGCACCGGAGTGGCGACGTCAGAAAGGTTCTATTTTTTTTAAGGCCATAATTCTCAGAATAACTGTGGCACCTGTACGTTTTAGAAGTTTTCTGTCTCTGCTCCCTCACCCATTAAACTTAGTCTTTCCTCACCAATGAGCCTCATTCAGCTGAGCCCACTGAAACTAAGTCTGGCTCATCAAATAATCAGGAGATTAAATTGCCTCCTTTGTAGGTCCTAAGTTTGATCTATCAATAATTCAGACACTGAAAAAGAGCTCCCACTCTGGGAATTTATTGAACTCAAGAAGGTGCCACGACTCTGAGCTCAGAGTTGGAAAATGCCTGCCGCTGAACTTTGCTTTTGTACTAAAACCTCCAGACATGTCAACAAGCCGTTGATAATTCTTAGATACATCTAATGTCGACGAAAAGGTTATGGAAAAGAAGATCATTGAAGAATTTTCAATAACTCAAAAGTTTCAGGCTCAAAAGAAATAATTCAAGAGATGACAAGCAATTTGACTAAATACTTGAAGGAAATGTTTCCCTTGTTCTATTGTAAAATGTATGCTCCTGGGATAAAAAATGGTTTGAAAATAGAATAATGGGACTTAGTTTTTCAAATGAGCCGAGTTTTCACCAAAATGTTTGGCTGTGAGCAGAGCTGCCGCTGCCGTTGGGTAATTCTTCCCAAATGCTTGCAGTCAATTCATTTTGAAATTTTCTAAATCCCTGCAGTGAGAAGATGGAAAACAGAAACAGAGGAACATAAACATGAAAAATTACATGTAAAACCTGGTGCTGACTAAATAATTCTTAAAAGATGTCAATATCTTGTCGCACTTTGGTACATAACAGCCCAAAGAGAAAAATCGTTTAGTGTAATTATTTTAGATTTCATTATGTGCCCAGATGGGGAGGAAACACGTGGCTGTACTAATAACACTGCTGAAATCTCAGCTATTTTGAGCTGAAGGAGTTCAGGTAACGAGATGTGCAGCAACTGTAACATCACACAAACGAAACTGGAAACTTACTCCGGTCGAACCACCAGCAAACCCTTTCTTTTTTTTTTTTAAAGCTTTTCACATAAAACAGATCAAATGAGTTCAGGTCAGCACTCCTCCACAAGGTTTCACACCATGCTGAATTACAGCAAATTGCATCACACTCCTCTTCTGGGAGAAAGAAAATCAAGCACAGACTTCCACCTGTCCCCCGTCCAGCATCTCTGCTGTTCACCCTTTCCACCTTTTCAGATCTCTTGCCTGACATTTATGCTACCCCAGATGACAGAGCTGTGGTATATTAGGTAATATGGACATCATCTATACACCTAAATTGATCCCTGTCTTTATACAGGATTAGCACTGGATTTCTCCATACTGCTTTGTCAAAATGGATTCTTACAATTCTTTTAAATAGATCACAAGGGATATCAGTACTTATTTCAGGCTCATCTATAATAATCATTATTATTATATCTAGAATTTGATAGTTTTAAAATTTCCGTGTCTTTTATGACAGGGAATGAACCCAAATTCGAAAATCTACGACACAAAGTCCTGCACTCACCTGTTCGTCAGAGAATAAAGCTGGTCATTGAACGGTCGGATCTGAGTCTCCTTTTTTATAAGGCAAAATCCGTGGATTGTTTGGTCACAAAGAACTCCTCCTACAGGATACCCCATGCAACCTTTCTCTTCTCATATTTTAAGCATCAGAATTTTTGTGATCAGCCCACAATAACGCCACAATTCCCTGGTCGTCAATTTAGAGGGACGCACAAGAAGGAAAATGTGCAAAGAAGTAGATCAACTCGTCCGATAAAGGTGACAGACTATATAAAACGATATTTCATTGTATTTCCCGTTGAGATAGGTCACTCTAACTTCTTCTAGTCCTGCATGAGTCGAGGAGTTTGCGCGCAGTCTGCTGCGCGGTGCGCTTTTTATATCCACTTTGGTGCTCGAACTGCATCCAACTCCAGCAACTAGTTACAAAGCCGTGATGTTTGCATCCAAAGCCCACTATTGCCAGAGGGCAATATAGGCCCCACCCCTTAGGCTACATTTTCACTGAGAGATGAAAAACCTGCGGTGGACTCACGTGTAAAGCGTGCTCCTAAATGGTAAATTCAAACATTTATTTTTGTATTTTGAGACGCCTCGTCATTACCTGGACATAGCATTTTTCTCTGTAACACATATGTAGACCATTTACAACTTTTATGCCGTAAAATTATATGATTTTAGAATTGATAGACTAACAGATGAGATTCGTATATCTTTTGTCGGACTTTAGGTTTGGCATGGAAATGTCTGACATAATGTAAATTTTCAACACAATGATGGAAAGCAAAAAAATATTTGATAACAAATGTGATAATGCAATGACATATAAAAACACATCAAACCATTTCAGGGGTTATGATTTGAATAAATAAATGTAACATTTAACTGTCTAGCTGTTCCTTCTTCCTTACTTGTTTAAGGTTGTTCAGCCTAAACATTGTGTCATCGGTTATGATTTGCTTTATTTTTTGCTTTACAGGAGAAGAAAAAAACAGCTAAACTTATTTTGTTCCATACAGAAAGGTTTTTCTACTAAATGGAAAATCAAAATAGATAGAGAGCTGAATATTCTACAAACATTGGATGCTAGAGCCGTTCACCTTACCTTGTTATCCAACAGGGGGCCATAAACAACAGTTCATGGAGATCATACAGAACAGCATTCCTTTTTTTTTTTTGGTTGGGCCATTTATGAGACATTCATCAACTGCATTACGATGAGAAGGACTACTGGATAAACACAACCAGTTACACTTATTTTACTGAAGGATTTATCATGAGAGTTAGGCTTCAGTGCGGGCTGTTTGTTTTTTCGGCGTGTTGCCAAGAGATAAACAGAGCCAAGAACATAGAAAAAAAAGCTCATCCCTTCTCGTTTATGACGTTCAGTGACGCAGTCATGGCCTATGACATGAAAGAAATACAAGAACGATACGGGAAATGTAAACTGACTCAGAGGTTTATGCAAGATACACTCACATACATTATAAAACCAGCTGTTACGTCCGATTATCATTTATTCTTGAGACATTTTTTTTTATCGCTCTGGCCGCCCAACAAGTCATGAGGACAACCACTTACTGCCAACAGACAGTCCAAGGGAGCCCTAAAGCAGAGCCAGACAGTCTTTTGTATCAGTTGTAAAACGCTTATGCATGCAAATATTGCAAAGTGAACTTTATTAAGGTCATAATTTCTGTCATAGCCTAAAAGCCAAGGGTAGTTATGGGCGATGTAATACCTCCAGGGTAGAGTGCAGAGCACAAAGTTTTAAGAGAGCCATGAGGATTAAATGATGACTCATGATAGGTTTATGACCCTTACACAGTGACTGTGCAGAAACAGGAGAGTGACAGAAAAAGATATACAGTGCTCACACCTATCAACCAAAAACTAACAGGATTTTGTGCCCCCCAGAAATATGTAAATCAGAAGGACCTGATTTTAAAACCATACAATATACTGCCATCAGCAATTTCAATGACAAATTAGAAAATATATATCTGAGAGTAAAAAATCAAACTGAGCAAGTTCCCCTGCCTTCTTATCACATGGGACCCGCGAAAGGCCCCCCTTTTGTTAATTATTATTGGAAAAACAAAGAAGGTGACGTTTTCCATACACATGAGCACATGAAAATTGCCTTCAAAACTGTGTGTGAATCTTTTCCAGAATCTTTTCATCCGTGTATGAAAATACTTGCATAGATTATACTGTCCCATAATCCCGACGCAAAAGAAACCCCATAAGAATCTGAGTAACTTTTTAAAAGGACCTCTTACGATTTGTTCTAAAGCCAGACTAACGAGTGAAGACGCGTGGATATAAAAGCTATTCATACCTTGAATAACTGAGGATAAAGCAAGATGTGCTATAAGAAGAAGGCATAGTCTGCGGTAGGCATTAGCCCTGGGTTCTGACATTTAAGCAGCTGAGACTTTCCTCATCAAGAATTTGAAGACAATTTACATGCTTTTATGAGATCTGTATTATCTGGTGACCTCTACTGAAAAAATATCTGCCTATCATTGAGTAAATATAGTGAGAGTGGCTCATTGGACACGTCAAAGCTTCTATTGTTAGCTCTACCTCCAGTGCACACAGATCTTAGTTTGATCAAGTATTCATGGGATGTGATGGAGTGAGTACAATAATGAATTGGCACCCAGACTCCAGGACGTAAAGGCTATCTCATTAAAATATTGGCAACCTTCTGTTTGCAAACTAATAAACTAATTCTGGTTTAGAGAAATCCCTTTCTGTGTATTTGACTCTCTTTCTATGTGCATTATGGTATGTAAATGCTCGACAAACTTTGTTCTAAAGCAGATTTGTTTTTCCGACATGTGTTATTCATATTCTATGAGAATTGTTTTTCAGAACTGGCACTTATTACAGGATGTGTCAAGAGCAAATTAAGATGATTGTTACAATATTCTTTGTCATAACTATCACTCCTATGAGACTTGCTCTCAAGTCAGATATCTCTCAAGTCATCAGTGCAGAAATCTGAATGACCCCAGGCTATTTTGTCCAAAGAACACACAGTTATAGATCTATTACTCGACACACAAGCAAACAGCCCTCTAAAAAGCTGTAAAGAAAAGCTTGCAGAAAATGTACCAGAATAATCTAATCTCAATTTCCAGTTGGTCATTACAGTAAATGTAGGAAATCATACACCCATATAGGCAGGAAAACAAGTAAAAAGGGACAAACGGGGACTCCTAATGTGATGTAAATACTTTTAAATGTATTTTTTTCCAAGCTTTAAATTGCTTTATTTTTTACAAGTTTGCCACCTTATAATTTATACTTTGTTTTAATCAATCAAATTGCTGGATTGATCAGAGTGATGTTTTCTAGCCTTAAAAAATTAACTCTACTGAGGTTGACATTTAAATTTGCCTTTCCTAACATCAACACAGTTCCTGGGTTTGAAACTCCAGCGGAACCTTTCTCTTTGTCTGCATGGAGAAACTGATGAAGTCTGTGTATACAATTTTGTATCTATATGACTTGACTCTCCAAATAATTAATGCATTAATGGCCGAGAAGCTGCCGGGCACAGCTGTGCACAAGATGGATTTGTTTCTATTCCTGCTGGCCCATCCTCACAAAACAAAAACAAAAAAAAGCCATTTCAAAACGTGAGACCTGAATAGCCATGACTGACTAAAAAAAAGCCTGGAGACCAGACTCATAGTCAAAACGTACAAATAATAAATGTTTGGGACTGCTGTCTGTTGCTCTGTAGATGCCTCCAGTCTTAAACTGGTCACTCTACGTAGTGGACTGTCAGAGGTACTAAATTAAACACAGGATTCGGATTATCTAGTCTTGACACAAGACAGAACACCTTGATAACAGAATTTCCAAATAAATGGGGTTTCTGCTCTGTTGCTTTATTATGCTTTAAAAGTAAACAAAGAACAATATCCTGAACTGATGTCTGCTATTTATTGTAACGCTCGTCTTCTTGTCCTGGAGAAGTGCAGACACAATGGTCCCTCTTGGGAGAACACAGAGCTTTGTGTTGATAGATGCATGGCTAAATTATATAATAAAACACTTGTAAAGACAGCAGGGCTTGTGAATCTAGAACTCGTCTATGAATGCTCTGTACCTTTATGTGGGGAGTTTTCAACTCAGAAATAGCCAAATATAGACTTTGTCCCATTAAAGAAACATCCATCGGTATTATGTAAAAAAAACTTTTTTGTTATTTTGTATGAAATATTTTGGTTCAGCTCAAGTTTTATTCAAAGTAACAATCCCAATTCTATGTAAGTTAAATGTAAATAAAAAAAAAAACTAATTCAATGGTCTCCATAAGTCATAAACCAATCATCTTTTCCATGACACAACATGAAAAAACATTTAAAATACTGAAAGCGAGATGTTCTGGAATTTGATGACTGCAACAATTCTCAAGAACAAGATGTGGACCATGTTTTATATTTTGTAATATCCCTTCTTCTTTTTGCAACAGATCGTAAACACCTGAACACTGAATAGATCAGTTGCTCCACCTTTGGGAGAGGGACATAGTGGAGCTCCAGATGTTTTCAGTAGATGAAATGTCTGAACTGCATGTAGGACAATCCAGCCTGGACTGTTGTAACCTGAAACCATTCTGAGTCCTGCCCTCAAGATGTATTGTAAATTGCCAGACGATGATTGAAGTTTTCCTAAACCTACAGCTTGAGTTCCATGACAGAATAGTGTCTTTTTTTACAGTCATGCCACCCAAAAGCCTGAACGTCATGAGGATCCATTACTTCTTGTCAACCTCATCTCTTTCACTGAGAGATGTCTGTAATGATGGAATAATCATGAGTGTTTGCAATTTTAAGTAAAGTTATGTTATCCTGAAATGTCTTCATAATGTTTGTATGTCTTATACAAAGACATATAAAACCAATCTTAAAAACAGTTTGCGTCTCTAAGGTGCTTTTTTCTATATTTAATCATGTGGCTGAATTGTTGCTTTTCCATTAAATTGGAAAATGTGTCTATTTTGGCATTTTATCTATCTTCTGTTTTCTCTTCTTAAAATATGACTGACTCACAAATCATTGCATTCTGTTTTTTTTTGGATTGCCATTTGATGCAGCAACAATACAGCAGGGAAAAGGGAAAATAATCAAATTTATCTGCACAACTATTTAATCTATAAATTTCACATCCAGTATTTATAGAATCATTTGAATGTTTATAGGGAAGTGATGGGTTAAATGAATCAATCTAATCCAACAATCTTTGCATCAACGGAAGATTGTGTCAGTACTTTAAAGGCTAAATTGTTATCTAATGTAATCGTCTCAAGTCATGATTTTAACTAATTCTATGCAATATTCACAGATCAGTTTTTAGTGTAAAGTTACATCTGAGACTCTATAACAGCTATATGTAATCAGGAAGTGGGAGTTTTTCATTTTAGGACCTGCAAGTGTGTAGCTAT